ATGGGAATCTTTCGGTCCATGTACGTTGAAAAAAGCTCGTGCACTCTGTATCGGCGTCAAAAAAGTATAGACGTTCAGCAGTTTCAAAAATCTGTTCCGAATTTGTTTTCGATTCAGGTTTATATGAATGTGAGGGAATCGCAGAATGTATGAAGTGGGATTATAAAATTTAGCCCGGATGAAAAATGGTCGTTGAGTTCGGGATGGCTTTACGAGTCAACTCTTGTGACTCATGGTGTACTGATGGTATTGACTCATCTGTGAGAATGATCCCATCCGTTATTTTAGAGGATGAAAAATTAGTCGTTTTATCTTGCTTACCGAATGCAATACTTTACAGAAAATTCCCATTGGCCCTAAAATAAAAGTTTCAAATGTGGTGAATGCCGATAGAGCATATTTTTTAAAGCTTAAATAATAGTTGATAAGACGATGCAAACCGAAGCTTCTGAAAGTTCCAACTTTTTTTTTTTTTTTTTTTACTGGGAGTTGCTACTTTTTTTTTTACTTGGAGTTCTAGAGTTCTAACATTATTTTACTGGGGGATTTAACATTATTTTACTGGAAGCATTTCCAAAGTTTTTACAAGAAGCTCGGGTGAAATTTTTGCGTCACCCCGTAGGCTCATCAGTTAATTTCCGTTTCAGGTCACGTCGCGGGTCGTGACAGGAAATGCTTTCATAAACGGAACACGCGCTGCGAAGCCACGCAACTCTGATAGTGGGACAGATGCCATCGTAGGTACCAGAGATGGATCATGATATATAAAGCTAGGGTTTCCCAGAAGTCTTCGAATCATCCGAAAATTGCGAATGAGACACGGCCTTATACGGGAAGATCACATAAGTTCGAATAACGAGTGCAGATTGTGTCCTAAACATTGTTCCGTTGATCACGAGATCCAATAATATCTTCGCAATGAAAGAAAAAAATAAACAAAACAAGTAGAAAATGTACACCCCGCTTGCATCAAAGGAAATTTTCTAAATAAAAAACAATTTGTTTGTTTTTTTGTGGCTTCTTCGAAGTTTCTGTCAAATTTGCCATACTCCTGAGAAACCCATCGCACGCTGAGCAACAGAGCGAAGGACAGTGAGGAATAAAGAATGAGAGGTCTTACAGCAGCTCAGACGAGAGAGTCGGGACGCCACCAGCAATGGTGCTCTCGTCGGATGTGGTGACGAGGTTGAGGACGCCAGGGGCTCGCTGGAAAAACGTGCACCAGGAGACTCGGCCGGAACCCGTGATGAACTGTCTGCTCGCACCCAGGAAAAAAGTTCCGTTTGCGTCTCGTTCCGCAGTGAACAGATCGGTCGAATATGTCCCCGGGTAGGAGAAGGCCATGAATATTTTTCCTCGCCAGAAAGAAGCCTAATGTGAAGAAAGGCTTAAATGAACAAGTGTTTTACAGCAGTCTAACCCAGTTAAGACGCCATAAGCCATAAGTCGCCAATTTATTTTGGAAAGAAAACACAAATGTTCCCTGATGATAAAAAACATTTTACAGTAAAAACTTTCTTGAACACCAATCGAAAAAATTATCAACTCAAATATGCCTTTACCAGTTTTTTTTTCTTCAATAGCCTACTGACAAGATTCGAGTTCATTCGAAAAGTCGAAATAATATAGAAAAATACGAAGATGGCGTAATTTACTTCCAACATTTTCATTATGCAGATTTTTCGTTGTGTGTTCTCTCGTTATGCTGGAACTCACTAGATTTAAATTAGATTTTTGTAGTTTTACAGTACTGCAGTATATGGTCTCGAAAAAGCATTACCTTTGGAAAAGTTATTTCGATTACAATAGTGTACATAAAAAACTACGGTAGGAGTCCAGAAGACTTTCCCTTTGAACTCGGCAAATTCCAAACTTCATAGAATTAAAAATTAATAGCCATTCTCTTTGATTATCGTACATTTATTGCGGCCATTTAAATGACTTATAAATTTGCTAGATTGAGGCTATAATTTTGTTGGATAATATTTGTAAATTAGACCTCAGACGAAAAAAAAACTGATCGATGAGGCCAGAAAGTTTCCTACGGTTTGAAACATTCACAGTAATATACTGTACCCTGGAATGCATTCAAGCGGTTCAATCCATTCAATTTGGTTTTTTAAACATTCTTAAATTAAGGCCCAACAGGGATAAGCTCTTTGATCGATGAGATCAGAAAGGCTCTTACTGTTTGAAGCATTCGCAATCTGGAATTAGGTCTAAAGATTCTATTCCAAATATGCCAAAGTTAATCGATGCAACAAAAAAAAAACGTGTTGTTTTCCTTCTACCTATTATACTCACGCAAACAAGATAAGACGTATTCCGGAGCGGAAAAGTGAGCAGCTTGGTGAAAGTTGCCCCTTTTTGTTTCTCGACGAAATCCATGGAATACAACACGGCTTTTCTCTCTCCGGAACATCCGACTACAATTATCGCTTGATTCTGGCTCATCCGAACAGTAGTTGCAGTGGAAGAAAGACAGTCGGGGTCCTCGGGTTTCAAGGGCTCCAGTGTCTGAGATTAGTCCCTCAGCCCAAGGTAGGGCTCCAAGTACTAAGGGGCGCACTTAGCTGAATATGGATTTTTAGTAGGTAGGGTAATTTTTTTACGTCATGTATGCTAAATACGATTTACGTTTCTAGCCTTACACGTGCTCAATTTAAGCATTCATCAATGCTATCGTATAATTCAGGGCAAGTGCGTGTGAAAATTCGTCATGCAGGCTTTTTTGAAGAATAAATAATTTTAATCGTGTATAAATATGCCTTTCATCCAAGTACACTTAATTGTGAAGAGAAAGACAGGCGACATAAAGCAACGTTTTTATTCGTAATGTCTTTAAATCGGAAGCAGTAAAATGTGAAAAGGAAAATAAAAAATGATTTCTTACTTTCTTCATCTCGCTTTCGACTTCATTCACTGTACTTGGGTGTATTGCGTAAGGCTTTTGGGATTATTAATTTTAAAATTTTTTCATACCTCCTCTGGATATCAAAGCATGACTCCAAAATGATTTTTCCTTCACGAGCATTTATTCTATGAGAATTAAGCCTTCCCGTCTTTGAAAAAAAACAAAACAAAAACATATATTTCAAAAATAAGGAAACACATTTTCAAGGACGTAAAAATTTATCACTGACTTCGTGCACGAACGGAGAATTGCTCTTTACTGTCTGGTGTCCTGATTCCGGTTCGCAGAAATACTTATTTGCATTTTTTCTTTGAAGATTACTCAACTTTTACGAATGAGAATGAGAAATTTTCTCGCGGAAACACGAAAACGAAAATACTAACCCTGAGCGCGTCGGACTCTGTAGGCCGCAGTTTCCTCCAGGAATTCATGCTCAAGCTTGTCAATTTTCTTCTCCAGATAATTCTCCAATCCGTCGGGCTGAAGCAAAGCCGCCAATTCATCGCCCAAGATATCGGCATATTCCAATCGAGCGGCTGAATGTGCAAATATTGAAGTCGGACACGAGGAAAAAACGACGACGATGATGGCGATGAAAGTTATCGACGGCGGGAAAATTAAACGAGCGCTCCAGCAGTTGAGGAACATATTGGAAACACACGCTTGTGAATTCCACTGTGGATGTCATCCACCGCGTCTGTGCCTAATAAAAAATGATAAAGATATTTTATATAAAAAACAAAATTATCATTTTCTACGGAAAGAATAGTACACATAGAATAACTTCTTCCAGTAGAAGATATCGCGCAATTTTCAAAAAGCTCACTGCTGATTTATTCACGGGTTTCGATCGCAGGTATTCGCGAATCTCGCGCGTGTTGACAATGTTGAGCACCTCCGTAATACTGCAAAAAAGAACAGAAATATGCGACCATACGGCAGTTGCAGCCTCATTTCCTCTTCAGGACGAGTTATCTTGATCCAGATTTCTTAGATCTCGAAATAACCCGAATCTTGTGGACATGACAGGAAAAACAATATTAAGACATTCCGAACAATGAGCTGTCCATGGCGAAATGACCTATATGAGCGCATCTGGTTTAGGAAATAAGTCGCGATGTTACAATTGGACGAACGAGTTTTATATATTTGCATGATCGCATGTGGTTGCCACGAACCGCTCATGGAAAAAAATTTTCCACGCAGGAAAAAATGTGTCGTTGTTTTTTTTTCGTGCTAGTTCTCCTATGATTATGAAACTCAGAAAGACATTATCACAGCTAGACAATGGATACATGCCCCATCATTTGAATATTCGGGTGGTCCGAAATTTCGAATACAATGTCAATTTGGGCTTATGCTTTTAAAATATTTTTGTAGAAGTAGAGTTTCCTTAGTCAATGCAGTATTCTGAACGCGGTCGCCAGGAATTATGTTTTTTCTAGCTTCTTCAACATGACCTAACAATCGGATCAATTGACATCAGTTTTCAACAAAAATCAAAAACAAATTTCACTCGAGGACTTATTGGAATTTTGTATTGGTCAAGACATACGCCATTTTTTTTGGTACGAAGTTGCTTACTGAAAAGTAGAAAATATAATTTTCCCTAAATTCCATTGCTGCAGAAAATCCCCATGCTCTCAAGTCGACATCTGTTGTTGGAATGAAAAATTGAAAACAATGCTCTAACACCAGTTTTGCGTTTTCAGCAACTTAAATTACTCTAAAAGGTTTTGCGTTCTCAGCAGTTCGAATAAGTTGCAACTTGAACATGTCCACCAACGCTTAGAAAAACGAAAAGACAAACGCATTTTATAGAATCCTTCGCGTCTAATTTAACTGAATGAGGCAAAAAAAGGTTGAGAGAAATCGTCATGAAGTTTTGAAAGAGTGTGGTTTCAACTTTTGAAGAGAACGGAAAACACATCTGTTCATGGATTTTGAGCGAAGTATCCCCACCGTACGAGGTGTCTGCTTGTTTGCAATTGGAGAACTTCCCCACAGGTGTTCCCGGGAGAACAAAGAAACAAAGGTAGTTATGCAGAAGATAACACATGTAGATGAAGTAAAGTAACAAGCATTATGTTACGATACCATATATTTTTCAACGCAAAAAAGGGGAACAATCATTGAAACAAACAGCACATCATTATATCTGTTCGGATGCATTTCCACGTCATTTTTCGTACTCTTCTAGTCTTCGACGAAGTATCGGAGACGCAAAATCCAAGGGAGTCTTCTCATCCTTGTTCTCTATTCTAAGCTTCGCACCGTGTTCAACAAGCAGAAGTGCAGCAGCATCTCGACCTTCTTCACACGCCAAATGTCTGAAAAATTTTGATGGGATTGAAATTAAATCAAACGCTTTCGCGCGAAATGTGAAGCACGCGAAACGAGACTCACAATGGAGTATTTCCCCAACGATCCTGCACGTCGACTCTCAAAGTTTTACTCAGCCCAACCAACATTTTCAAGGAATCATTATGCCCCTGGGCAGCAGCGCGATGTAAAGCTGATGACCCTTTCTTGTCCTGAAGATTCGGATCCGCTCCATTTGACAGCAGCACGTCAATAATCTGAAAAATTTAAAACAGAAACTTTAAATTTGGTAAAATAAAATTCCCTATCATGAGCCGAATCAAGTCAAGGCGACTTCTTGTTTATGAAACCAATAGGAATAAATTTTCTGATGACGAGCAACAATGATGAAATAGAACACCACGAGTACACATAACTACATAAACTTGCATCAAATCACCGAAATGATCTTTGAACTCAGGGGTTGGTCTACATTTATGCAAATGCGTTGAATGCCTGCACAAAAATTCACAGGGCAGATGCAATTATCCTCTACACCGCCAAGTGAGCAGTGACTCATAGATTTTCCAATGCAATTATTCCATGGCAACAATTCTTTTAAAAATAATTAAATTTCAAACGAAAAATGAATACTGTACTTGTGTTGCACTCATTCCAGTGCAAAACACGCACCACGATTTTCAAAAATACATCCAGGAATAATATTCCTAGAAGCACAGCATTTTTAATTGTACACGACAAATACTGTGCTCATATTTTTCATATGCAATTTTCAGAGGAGAGATCCGCGCGGTACGTAACAGGGGTTCAAATACTTCAAGTTATTTCTCATAGGGAAACATTACAGCTCACGTACCTCAGTACGATCTTTGGACGCGGCATAAATTAAAGGAGAACCTCCTGATTCTGCTTGAGCATTCACATCTGCACCAAGTGAGATGAGCTTCCTCACGATGGCCAATCTGCCTGCAGAGCTTGC